TATCAGATGCTGATCCAACTGAACACAGGATCATAAGTGAAATTCTTGCTTATATCATTCTATTTCTACGGGTGTGTGTTTCCTTGCTATCACTAATTGATAGTAGTGCATATGCTCTCACTTGGTACTTAGATACCACCGGACAACTAAAAAGTCTGCGGCTCGTAAGATCTGTTCTACCACAGTAGGCACATACAATTGTGATAACTGTTTGTGTTTAGTGTGGTGTGGGGTGGGCCCCAGACAGGTGTAGAGGTATTGAAAGATCCTCAGATCCTACCTCTAACCCCGCTGAGGCAAGAACGGGGCTCTCAGAGAACGCGGGCTTCTCAGCCCCTAACTCACGTACGCTTTGAGCCGTGAGCCATGAGAAGCCCCGTAACTCCAGTGTACGTGAGTTCTGTCCTCCTAAACCACTATCCCAGTTTTTCCTGGAACATTCCACCCCCTGTATGAACTCTCTGTCTGCAAACTTTAAGTTTAGCCTAGAAGAACTGTAATTGGCTGTATTCCACAAACAAAACAATCTGTGTCAATTCACCCAAGCCGACAGCAAAACATAGGATTTTCTTCCTCAATGGCTCTCTGCTCTACAAACTCTCTTCGCGCAACCTTCTTAGCAACTCTTTCGTTTCCTCTAATTCCTTTGCTGAGTATTTCCGCAAGTAAATCTTATAAGCATCCGAGGTCCCCTGACCATGTTTCTTCAACTCTTCCCTTGATGCCCCAAGGTTCCAGCGCAAGGATGCCCCGCCTATTCTGAATGAACGGCCAAAAAGTAGTCGTTTCTTCTCCGGGCGATGTGAGTTCCATATCTCCCTCAAGTAAATGACCGTTTCATTTTTCTTCAGCGTTGACTGCCGATCCCCTGAACCGAAAGAGAAGATCTTATCTGTAGGACTTCTCGGGCGAAAATCGAATAACGAGCGCAGCGCTTTCACTGGATTCAAGCAAGACTTCTGCTCTTGGGCGTGTATGTATTGAAGCTCTCCAGGCTTTGCCGTTTTGGCGTTGCATATGGTTATTCTAACGTTTAACCCGTTCTTTCCCCAAGCTACGTCTCCCCACCTCGGGTTTGAGTCGGAGTCTTCGTTTGAAATCAATTCACCCAACCTGGCCGTCCGCCAGAAGGCAAGTAGAGCCAATGCCAACATGGCTAGACCCTTTTCTCCGTCGTTCCGGAGGGTTTCATGCAGGACTACTAAATCCGATATCATTACTGGAGGGCGTTTCTTTTCTTGGTAGGCAAATCCAGATTCGATGACCCTCGACGCTTTCAGAAGGCCCGCTATGGCAGTGTCTAGTTTTGCTGGGTATTCTTCGTTGTGGAATAGATGCCACGCCTTGATCCCGGCGATGTAGGCTTTAAGGGTCTTTGAGCTCACGGATTTGTCGTCCTGGGCTCTTGTTTCTACTTTCCTGGACGCCCAAACCACGAATCGCATCATGAAGCTTGGGCTAATCGGTAAGAGGAGCTTTGGATTCAACTTGTTCACCACCACAAATCTATGAAGTTTGACAATAGCTGAGTTGTAGTGCTTTAATGTTCCGTCTGCCCAGGTGTTGCGCAAGTAATGCGTCTGTACTTCGCTTTCCTTTGATCCATCAATCACCAGAGCGTTTCGCTTGAAAGTCCCATAAGCTTTCGTAAGCCGGTTCATGTCTTTGTCGGAACTACTTGATGTCGGAACACACTTAGAATGTAGGTTCTTCATCGCTGACCAGAGTGACTTGTGATAAGATAAAGCGTAAATCAGTTGGAACGGTTATCAACACCTCATTACTCCAATGTAACTTTCCGAGAATTCCCCTTGATAACCCGTCGGCCTTATTTTCTCCCGACTTTACCCGACGCTGTTTGATGTTACAGCCCAAAAAGGTAAGCAAATGTTGTATGCGTTTCAGTTTGCCATTCACTAAGTCGTCTTTTGACTTCCTTTTCCTTAAGCCTGCCTGCGTCGTAGTGTTGTCGGTGTCGACCCAAAAGGTCTTCCCTTTTATCAACATCAACTTCTGCAGGACTAGGAGGCCTAGTCTCACCGCTACGGTCTCCGCCCAAGCGATGGTCCTCTTACCGCTTGTCAGCTCTAAAGACTGCCACCCCTTCACGAATTTGAAGCTCGCCCAACTAGTGCCCACCAGTACTCCTATTCTGGAAAGTGGATCGGTGTTAGTCAACTGGATTGTCTCACTGCTCCACGAGCACGAAGCACACCTCTCCTGACTCACCCAAAAGAAGATGAGGCATCGTTTACCCAGCCGATCTCCACAAGTTTCGCGCATGTCACCAAAGGTCTTGCGTTGAAGTTTGACAAGCACAATCTCCATTTGATTAAGTCTTCTGTGACGTCCAAAGGAACTCCTCGCTCGGCATTTTTATTTACCCAGCTCTTCAACCAACGGTAAAAAGATTGTAAGTATGCCACCATATGTGGCACAATATTAACCGTGTGGCTTAATTTCCCCAAGATACTCTCAATGCGAGAAAATTTCCATGTGGAATCCGGTCTTAGTAAGTCCAAGATCAGTTGGAACCTTTCCTTTAGCTGTTCCTCCGGTAACCTAACAGTATGATCCTTCCCGTTCCAGATGAAACCCAGGTAGCGCTGTTCATCTGCAAAGTCGTGGTTCTTCTCGCGGTTTGATTTCACGCCCATCAAAGCACTCAAGTTTGAAATGTTGTCTAGCGTCACCGTGTCACCTGGTCTCCAAAAGATAAGATTATCATCTACCCATCGGAAAATGACCGCCAGCTTCAAGAGAGTCTGAATTACTATCTTCCATACATCTGCAGGAGCACCGAAGACTCCACAGCTCGCAACTCCCCCGAACCCTACTGCCAAATCGATCCACACTCTATTATAAAAGTCCAGGATGCACAGAAATCTACGCTGACATGGGTGGATGGGGAGTTGCCTGTAAGCTTTTGCCCAGTCGAAGATGGCCAGCTCCCAACTGCCCGGGTTTTCTTGTAGGAATAAAGCCACTTGATTGAACTCGTCCCACTGCGTTCCATAGTTGTGTTTGTCAACAAACGAGTTCACTGACGGTATTCGAGGATCTCCTTTAGGAAATGAAAGATTGTTTATCATTTGAATTGACCCGTCGCCGTTCACTGCACCCCCAATAGGATTTGTTCTAAAGAAACCCCATTTCTCCCTCACTTGTTCTCTAGAGAACGGACCTATCAGACGTTGGGCCTGCGCGTCTTTCCAAATTGTTGCCTCAATTTCTCTTCTAACGTCGATGGCCGACTCGTGATTGGGCGGGGTGAACCAAGGTAAGTCATCTAGTTCATGTTGCGGGATGCCAAGGCAAAAGCCCTCCGTAAACCCATTTACGATGTAGGGAATGTCCTCATTGAGGCCTACTTTCCTCATCAGGATTGCCCATTGGGGGATTACCATGTCACACTTCACCTTTGATGGCCAATTGTTTGCCACCGGCACCGTGTACAACTTTCTTTGGTTCAAAGGTAAGATCTTCTTACGGGGGACTTCTGAGACCGACTTGACATTGGAGTGTTCACTTGAGTCTGAGGACTCAATGTCTTGCCCCGGCTCTCCGGCCGCAGCCCTTACGGTTAGTGCGCTCTGTAGCTCACTAAATACGACTGCGCGGAACAACACAAACCAAAAACAACCAATGTTATATTTATTTCAGACACCCATTTTCTAAAAACTCAGTTCACTTCCTAAACACGTACCATTTATACAACAAGGTTCGAAAACGTGTCAAGTACCAGTCATTTATACAACAAGGTTCGAAAACGTGTCAAGTACCAGTCCGCGTCAACGAGATGTCAAATACGGACATGGTCAGGGCCCAATCAGAGGATGTAGGTCGCTCACGTCAGTCATGTTTCTCTTGTCTATGCTCTACAAAGATGAAAGAAAAGAAACCGCTCCATCACCGGAACGATACTGACTTGGGTTGGATTTGCGACCCCTTGTTCAGAACATAGGTGTTCTTTGGATCCGGCACTGCCGCTACACTTTGCGACACCGCTGTCTGTACCGCTGGAGGGTTATCTATTGGCCCGAATTTGCCGTAGCGTAAGTGAAAAAGAAGGATATTCCTGCTTTAGACACCTGTCCTACACCTCTAATGTACAGATAGAAGGTACTAGCACTCACAGAACTTTTGTGGTCCAGCTATTTGGTTCCCTTCAGTCGAGAAATTGACCTTCTGGCCCCTCCCTCGATTCCTGCTCCTGGATTTCCAGTGTTTGGAGTTCCCGCTCTTGTGGTTAGAAGACGAACCAGAAGCCTTCTGATTGGCTGATGCTTGAGCTGGCCGAGGCTTCCCAGTTCCAAAGTTGTATCCGAACTTTGGACCACCAAAGGCGTAAGGGTTTCCTGCCGTGTAAATGGTGTCTCCTGCCCTGTCGCTATGCCATTTCACAATGTATTGGATGTCTGGCTGAAGACCGTCCGGCAAGCATACGTAGGTGTACGTCTTGCCCTTCTTGCGTTTATGACCAGGCTCTGGGTCCTCCGACTCGTGCTTCCTGAAGATCGAAGAACGTATATGTAGAGGTTGTATCTCAAAGCCACCATCCAGCAACCGTAACGTTCGCTCAGCTTTGTGACGATCTTCACGTGTTTCAGAATCCACTTGGCGTAATCGTTGTGCCCATAGAGGTCAGCTGCGTAGCGACTCTCTAGATTACAAGCCTCTACGAATTCACCAAAGTCCATCAAGCGGTCACGTTCGATCTCCTGATTCTGGAGTGCTCGTTCACTCGTTTGACTTTGAGCTACTGGTACCGCCGTTCCGAAGTTGTCAACACTTTCTCTTAGAAAAATCGACAATGGTACGTAATCATTCATCTTTTTGAAGTGCTTTGCCCATCTTCTTGGAAGGTTTGGTAAGTCGTAGGCTTTGACTTTCATCTCACGAAAGTTAACTTTCTTTGACTTGGACTTGACTTTGCCAGAGCTGGAATCCGAAGACAAGCTTGACGAGTCTGAGTCTGAAGAGTCTGAAGACTGGGTCCGTCAAGGAGCGGGCGAGTCAGAGTCATCTGAAGCAGGGGTCAAGTCTGAACTCGAGGAAGATGAATCTGAGGTGCGCTTCTTCTTTCCCTTGCCCTTCTTGAGCTTCTTCTCTCTCCTCTTGGGTTTTGAGGGCTTTGGTCTAGATTTTTCAATCTTCACCTTCTTTGGTTTCTTCCCTTTTGGGGATGGAGCTGGGTCCTCGTCGCCATACTTGTCGTAGAAACGCTTTTGAAGACGCTTCACCCGATTCAAGTGACCTGACTTCACCTCTCTCACTATCTCCTCTAGCCAGGCTACTCGCTCCAAGGATTTACCCTTGTCTTTCCGTTCCTTCTTCTTCTCGCCACTAAATTTCTTTTCTAGGCGTATCTTAGACGCTGTGGGATTTACACCAAAGGAGATCGAAGGGAACCATCAGCTACTTGACATGATGGGCGTACAGAAAGCGGGGGGTTTGGCACCCCATCTCTGGGATAACCAATAAGATCTACGAGTTCAACACTCAGATCTGAGCCTCAACTGGGCCTCCTGAACACCCAAAGGCGGAGTGCTAAGCACATCTAATGTAGGGACATCTCTCAACCATCAAGGGAGACTTGTCTCAACCTTTCCCAAGGAGTACAGAGGGAGAATCGACATAAAGGAAAAAAATTTTGCTTACGGCCACAAACGTCTACGGTATCCTCCGAGTCTCCTTCTGAAGAATCCCCTTCAGAGTCGACTTGCGGTGGGTTCAGATTAACAAATCTTCCATTTTTCAAGACCAACTGTATTGGCTCTTTTGCCTTGGCTTGCTCGTTCCTGGCTGACGCAGATTTGGCCCCTTCTTCGTTCTCCTCAGTCATATGGCCATCTCCAAATCCAACTCCATTCTCTTCTTCTTCACCACCATTCCCGCTCCCATTCGAATCCTCATGGAAGGAAGTGTCTTCGTCAACAAGCACTGCATCTTGCTCTACCGTGTTGGATTCATGATGAGATTCGTCTGCCGCTCTTGATGACATCCTGGTCGTTCTTTGCGTAGGGGCGGAAACCTTCTGCTTTGTCATTTCTCTATCCTTAGATTGTTTGGCTGCCAAAGATTTGTGGTGGGGTTTGTATAACGAAAAGAATTTTTGTTCTGATTTTTCCACTCTGGACATAGACTCCTGACTGGAGGATCTTGAAGCTATAATTGAACTCTTTATCTAAATTATGGATCTAAACTGCCCTGATCTATGAAAAAAACTCTGTAGACTTTTGAAGAAAAAGGAGAGGGGTTGAGAACTGTGCAGAGCTGAAAAATGGCTTCCTAGAGAAGAGTAAAGTTGGAAGCGTGGGAGATAAAATTTTTTCCTTCCCACTCTTCCAAGTTTGGTAACTTGTTACACCTCTCTCTAGATACATGTGCGCGCCCTCGTGCGGGCCCGCGGCTCTGCTCCTCACCCCCTTCCCTATAAATAGACTCCAGTGTACCGTCTCAGGTTTTGGGAACACTGGCTATATCACTTTCATTTTTGTACTGATGGCCAATATGAAATCACACCAATCTGTAGGCACCTTCAGGTCCTCCTGTGGTGGACTTGGCCCAGGACTCAGATGAAGAAAAATTACGGATCAGAAAAAGGAAACAAAATCAACCTGAAAACAAAGACTTTGATCATCCCTTTGATTATTATGAGCCCCCCACCCATGCAAATAACGATGTAAGTTCTTTTAATCAACTTTATCATTCCATTAATGAACTTCACCAAGTATACCAACTGCCAGCTTATATTAAAAAATTGGTAGCCACTTGACCAACCCGGCCTGTCCTACAAGTGCCGCAAGTGCTTCAAGGTTGTTCAAGTGAGTGCAAGCTCACGTCGATCCAACCTCAAGGGCCATCGGGATGGTTCCAACCAGGCTGGCTACACCACGGGGCAGCTGGCATGTGAGATTCACGTGAAATGGTTCTCTGCCAATAAATCAGGCGCTGTCCACAGTGTGATACCTGTTGTGAGCTACACATGACAGCCAGGGTGAGCAGCTAAATTGTGGTGGCTCACCTGTCCATTGGGTGAGTCATCTCACATCATAACAGTGTGAAATGACTAATCCAATGAGCGGGTAAGCCATCACCTTGTTAAAGTGTGAGCCTTGTTGCAGTCCTCTTCCAGTCTTATCATGGCTTGGTAGCCAGCCCAATCAAATCACGCTGGGATGATTTTGTCTTCGCTCATGGAATGGAGGGTACAATGAAATAATAACAACAGATCTATTCTTTGCATTGACAGAAACATAGCATTGTGTTTACAGAAACAAAAGAAATGAAACCAAAAATAAAACACAAGAACATGATAGAAATGATTTGTTGGCAGCGACTTTGGAGGATTCAACTGCATGAGCGAAAGAAATTAGAAGATATGATCAGTATCAGAAATTTGATAAATTAACAGCCTTGATACACACAAACGATTTGATCTTTGTTTCATCAGGAATAAACAAACTCACATAACCAAACACACCTTTACCACCAAAGCAACAGTTTCATTGATTATCATCATCAATCTACTCAATTGTTGAATTGTATTTGTGTACCCATTTTTAGAAACTTTGGATGAAGTACGAGGATCTAAATCAGAACAGTTGGCCTGATCATTTGAAGAATCAATCAATGAGAGTCAGAAGAAAAGGTTGGGTTGATGAAAAACTTACAACTTAGGAGAATGAACCAGGCATACAGGGCTAACAGAACAATGAGAACAAAAACCAAAGAGACCAATGATGTTTAGTTTGTGATGATAGACAAATGAGAAAATGAAATGAAACTTACCAGAGCTTTAATCTTTGACTCTATTGACATCCAGCAGAAAAATGATTGGACAGGAGGAGACAATACAAAATGATTGATTGAGTGACTTTGATATCAACAATGCAAATGGAATCATTGATCATGATGGCATCAATCTTTAGAATGATGTCAATGAGATAGGAAATAAAGAAGAAAGAAAGAAAGACCAAAAAGAAGGGCTTACCAATGTGTCAATTGATCAGAGGACTTCATAAGCAATCATTGGAATGACATCAAACTTTAGGCTGATTTAAATGAGATCATGAAGAAATGATCACATCAAGAGCAATGATAATGGATGATCGGCTCTGGAAGTGATCAATGGGATGGTGGAGCCTGAGGATGGTGATGAGCACTAGAGTGTGGAATGGGAGTCAAAGTTTGAGTCGGATGATGAAAGACAATGAACAAAGAGGACTGTGATCGACTGTGGTTCTTTGACTGTGGTTCCTGTGACATGTACCGTACCTGTGATGTCAGACTTGACAGTGATCATCATACCTTTACCCGAATCTTGGTTTTGAGAATGACACCAAGATGTGGTACAGCCTGATTTTCAAAAGGGCGGGCTTCAAAGTAAATTTATTTGTGGACAAGTCCTTTTGATTTTGTCAAGAGGTGGATGCTTCTCAAAGGAGAATAGCCACATGATCAGCACTCGATGTGAGCTTGGATGAGCTCATTCGCATGCTGAGCACCTGGCTGGCAGATTGCGCTCGTACAACCCAGCTCACCCACTCATTGGCTGGTAAGTCACGCCACGCCAACGTGGTCTTTCTCTCCACGTGTAAGATACGTGACAGGCCATGGGTGAGGGCCACGTAGCCGCACTCACACTGCTACCACCTGTTCTACACAACCACTCAGTGTGGTCATACCCAACTTACATTTCACGTGGTCCCAGTTCAAAGTCGCCCCGTGGTGTAGTCTGGTGCTGGTTGCCCTCGACGCAATCAGGCAATCACAGCTGGCGCCAAACTCCCACCCACCGTATCCGAGCTGTGTTCTCAACAACTTCAGCAGGATCATCAAAACTCCCTTGCAGCTTTTCTAGTATCGGCACCCAAGTTTTCAAATAAAACCTTGAACCAAGCCCTGGCTGTGTGGCAAGTAGCCCAGGCGTTGCCCTTCAAGCGAATCGATGATCCATTACTTAGATCAATTTTCTATTGGCTGTGTCCGGACGCCCGGGTCTTTGGTCGCAAGTGGGTGGCTGAGGAAGCCAAAAAACTACATCTTTCCCTCCAGGATATAGTAATTGATAAAGAGCTCCAGGTAAGTGACCATTACTTTCTATCATTCAAATTTGCTAAGTACCTGAAGATTGACACAGATCTTTTGTCTGTTTTTTTCATAGGAGTTGGACAGCAAGTTCTGCCTGATTCAGGACGTTTGGACGGTGAAGGGTAATTTTCATGCATTTATCGGTGCTTCTGTATCCTTTATCAAGAAGGACTGGACTTATGTAGTTAGACATCTGAGTTTGAAGCTTGTTGCGTGGCATCACAAGGGACACTTGTTAGCTGAACCAATGGTTACTATCTTGAAGAAGAACAAACTTTATAAAAAGATAAGTTTTTCATTTCCCATTTGCTTTATCATTTTTCATTGTCATCCTTATCTTCATTTATTTGATGTACTAATATCATGTTTAATATTACATGCTCGCTGGTGTTTCTGTTTCAGGAAGCAACAATATTACATTGGGCCGGGAAATGCAACACCAGCTCCGAGAGGAGGGATTCAAAACCGGTTTCAACTCCCCTTGGAAGCCCAAATCTATGTTGGTTTGATGTTTTTGTCACAAAATGGGTTGTATTGTCAAAGTGGGCCTCGATGCACTCAGAATGAAACCCAGGTGCATCCAACATAGCACCTTAGGTCAATTTCCTCCGGTTGAAGTTCTGGCTGTTATTGATGAGGATGAAGAGTCGGGAGCTGACCTTACCATCAGCTCTGGAGCTGAAGACCCATCTTCTGATGAAGATGATTTTGATTGTCACTCTGATGACAGTCATAGCAGCAGTGACTCGGACTCTGATTTGAATTCCGACTCTGATGGGGAGGAGGATGATGCAGAGCAGGAAGACAAACCGGAAAACTATCAAAACCACAAGACTGCCTATTTGTTTGGGGACACATTCATGACACAGTTAAGTAAAGATGTAAGTCATTTCATTGTTTCATTTACTTTCATCATTCCTCCTTTACTCAATTGCTTCCCTTGTTTCATTGACCTACATAGATGGACACGGTTAACAAGAAGCTAACTCGATCCAGTGGCCACCGGGCTGATTTCAATTGACACCGTGAAAGAGAAAATGTCCAACAAAAACTAGATGGCTTACCTGCCCTCAAAGCGCTTTTATCTGGCCATGGAATCCGATGGGGTATGTGGGAAGCACGTCATGTATGTCATTCACTTTCACTCTTTTGAAACCTCGTGCTATGCTAATAACAGTCTTCCTTTTCAGTTGATTGATAGGGTAATGAAAGAGGACTTAGCGGAGGTGCACTCAAAGAAGCGCCATTCTTGAAAGGACGGCAAGAAATACAGCTACTTTGAAGAAGTTGTATTTTCGGTGGCTGATTGGCAAGCCTTGAGGGATATGCTGGATATCCTTACTGTAAGTCTTTCAATCTTGAATAATCTTAATATGTTCAATGATACTGATTCCATAACACATACTTTGTAGCCATACAAGTTTTTGACTCGGGAGATGGAAGGTGAGAGCATCCACAGTGGTGGGCTCCAAATCGGGGCTATTGCCAAATTTGGTGACTGAGCCCCGATTTTTTGGTGCAATGGCAGTCCCCATTGCCAAATTTTTTTGTAGCCGGCTTCAAATTTTGAGCTTTGGGCTACAAATTTGGCAACAAAAAGCCGGGCTCCAAATTCCCGCACTTGCTCAATCCCATACCTCACACATGTAAGCCCACGCGCACCAATCTCAAAGTGTGTGTAAACACAGAATCTACACTTTTGAAGTCCGAACGACTGCATCCGGATTGATTTGGGGCCCCACCAAATTTGAATTCGCTCGATTTGGAGCCCCGATTTGGAGCCCACCACTGTGGATGCTCTAATATCCCTACTGGCTGCATGGTACTCGTCAAATATGTTCAGCTCAAGGCAAATATGGAAGCTCAATTGAAAGTTATGCACTTGAATGATCCTCTTTACCCAATGGTGGACATCATGCTAGGGAAGATCAAACTCTATCTAGAAGAAGCACTTGCTTGTGATACATTAGTACTTGCCGCGGTATTTCACCCTGGTTTACGTCTTTGTTTTTTCTCTCATGCATTTGGCAAAGGGTCCCCTGAGCAAGACCAAGCCAAGGCGTTATTAGAAGTTGAATTTAAAAATGAGCATCAGAATCAAGAAGCAAATTCTCAAACTCAAGAACAAGAAGAGCCTGTCACCACAGCTCAAACTTCAGTTGAATTGCCTCCCAGTATATTTTTGCCCAGATTCCTTGATTTTTACAATGAGGTATCAACTGAAAGCAATATTAACAAACTCGACTGATACATTCAAGGCATCGATCCGATGAAAACTTCTGATGTCAATAATCCACAGCATGTGTTGGATTGGTGGAGGGTATGTCATGATTCAATATTATCTTTCACTCCAATTTTCCCTTACTGATCTTCATATATTTATTTATAGGCTCATGAAGGTAAATACACTGTCTTAGCTTGCACCTACCTTGCAACTCCGGCGGCATCAAGTGCTCCCAAGCGCTCTTTCTCTATTGCTGGTCGAATTTGTACCGACGAGCGAGGAGGTTTAAAGCCAAGAATGACTGAGATGTTAGTGAGTAGTACTTTATGGATGGGGGAAGGGATCCCTCTAACTGGGATTTTTGCTGAGGTGGGCAAGGTCATAGAGTTAGCCATCTCAAAGAAAAGCTGCCAAACTCGTGCTTGAGTTTTTTTTTGATCAAATCATCTTTTTTTCTATTGTTTTACATTCTTTACACTTGTTTACAAAGTTTGTTGACCTGCTTGTGTTTGAGTTTTTTCATCAAGTCATCTTTTTTTCTATTATCTTACTTCATTTACACTCGTTTACAATGTTTCTTGATCTTTTCTCTACGCTCGTTTACACCATTTTTCCTAATTCCTTTCTTTGTTTATCACCTTCAAGAATAAATAAAAAAAGTCTTTTTTTGGCTTGTAACGCTAAGTAGCGCGGCGGAAATGAGCCATGCTTTTTGCTATGATTTTGGTTGGATTTTTTTTTCCGCCACCACTAACCCTACCAAGGTTTGGGGCTTTGCTCCATAACTACCTTAACGCTTTCCTGGCTAGTAGCGCTACGTAGCGCTGTGAGCCAGACTTGCTATCTTACACACAAAGGTCAAAAGTACCCAAGATGCATTTGTTGTTACTTGAAGAAGTGTCCAATAAAGCTGGTCACAGGCCAAAGGTTCAATCTTTACCTCAGTAAATTTGGGATCCTGGCACAAATATGTGCTCTAAAATGCACGTCTTACAAAAAAGGTTTCACTGCAAACAACTTGAAATGAAGGCAAAAGCATCCCTTATGATACTCAAGTACTATTGAACATTTTAACTCATAAGAAGTCAGTATCTTGAGGGAAAAGCTGATATAGTTTGATATAACCCTGCCTTCGATCATGATCAACCCCCCCCACTTTGATTGGTAAGCCAAAGTCTAACTACCAAAAAACAAAGAGCTTGAAATTTAATAGAAAATCCAAAGGCTCATAATTCAAGTACCCTACTCCACACAAATTCATAAAAATCAATCACTTTGTATTTTGTATCACATCAGATGTACTTTAGTATAATTAGAATTCTTTTTTAATTCTTGATTTTTTACATGGTCTTTTCTCTAAGTATTAGCAACAATCACATGAAATACTAAAGCAGCATCAGCAAAGACCCGAGAAAACCAAAGACATCAATTAGGTAATTGATTTATGAACAAGGTCAATTGATATATAAAATGGGACTAACTTTAACACTCTTCAAATACATTTTAATCTTTCTCCAATCAATTGCTTTATTGGGTGTAGCACCAGAATTATATCCATCACATTTTTGACCAGTGTTGATACACATAGCATATTCTTCTCTGTTCCTTTCCCATCCTCAAAAGGAAAATAATGATAAAACAACATGAATTAAAGGACAGGCCAAAAATCCAGAGAAGGTCAAACTCACTTACATAGAACATTTCATTAGCAAGTTTATGTTTACAAACATCACCACCAAGGATGATCCTACCAGCGTTTTTAGCTGTTCTACCAAATTCATTTATCAATCTGTCATCTGATAATCTTCACTGACGCTAGAAGGAATATTGAATCAAAGGTTAGTTAGGTATCAAACCTTTTTTTGGATCTTTTTGATTTTGAGCTCAATGCTCTTTCACCAATTACCATTTTCTTCATGGTCTTGATTGATCAATATCGATTTGTAGCTTGAAATCTAATTTTATGATAAGATTCCAATGATTGATCTATGTAAATCTAATCAATTAAAATCCGGACCGTTGATTTGAATAGTTTTTGCTGGGACAGGTATTGATGGAGCCAAGAGATTTGCTTGAGCTTTATTGAATCCGTCCTGATTATCTTTGTTTTGATTTGAATTGATGATTATGTATTCAACTGATGATCTTAGCTTGAGTCGTTGAAAGTGATTATGTAGGTATACAGTGACATGAGCATTGATAGATTCAGTTTCCAGGTCAGGTTGCAGAGATCTGGATGTCTGAATAGTTTGATGAAGGTTGTTTGGTTTCAGAGTCCTGATTGTTTCTATTGCTTCAAGAGGTTTTTGAGTGTTGGGAACATTGATTGATTCAACTGGGTTGCCAAGTCGCGACCTGGCGGCCCTGTCCAATGATGGAGTTGGGGTTTTGACTGAATCATTGGATCAGATCCGGGACTTTATAGAGAGCTCCTTAAGCGCACAATCCAGTCTTCTCAGCTCACATGTATGTTGAAACTTTGGGATTTCAGACATAAGCTAATCTCACGACAGTACTTTCATGACTTCTTTCACAGTTGAAAAAAACATGTCTTCCCCCAAAAAAGAATAAAAGACACACGCTAGCACCGCCAACATAGATGCCTTGGATTTTTCAATCCAAGGCATCATTGGATATAAACCCTTGGACAGATCTTGTCCGAGGTGTTGATCCGAGGTATCTTTTGGCGCAAACAGATACCTTGGATCAAAACCTTGGAAAGATTCTGTCTGAGATTTTGAGGTTTTCAATCCGAGGCATCTATGTTGGCTGTGAAGTATATAAAAATCATATCTAAATAATACAAACAAACCAATATAGTAAAGAATAAAGCGACTGAAATATTAAAAATCCAAATGAAAAATAGTGGGAAAGTTGTAGGTGTAGAAGGCGTGCCTGGTTTGCATTGCAGTAATGTATTTGGCAATAGTTGTGACTTTAACCAGTTTTTTGGTTGCACAAGGGTTAACATTGTGTCCTGGCCATACAAGGAATTGTTCTACTGTATTGCAAGACACTGGGAATGCAACTCGTTTCTTCAAGGTAGCGAAAAGTTTGAATTTCTTCACGCCTGATGCATAAGATTCAATGGTAGAGCGGCGCCACCCCGCTCTGATCATATGCCATTGAGCTCTTGTGAGGGGGCGTTTTACATTGTATTGAATGCATAGGAATGACTTGATGCACTTCATAACTTGTTATTGTGTGGTTGAGGAATCGACTTGCTGTAGTGTTACGAAGTTAGATGAGTTATCAGCCTACAAAGTGATACGTCTCGCAAAGTAAGTGAAGAGCTTACCTGTGCTAATATTGCGTTATTAGTATAGTTTGAGGGGGTATCTCTGGGCAGGAGGTATACAATTGTGATGCCGTAGCTGGGATATGTGTAATCAAGGTAGGTATGACTAGTGGTAAAAGGCTTTCTCTTTGTTATAGGCCGAGTCATTTGGGCAGGAGGGATGTTTTGGTGAGGTGATTGTTGTAACTGGTTGGAGTAGAAAGGAGGGCTGGATGTAAAGGAGGAGGGGATGTTAAAACTGGTAGTGAAGGGATATGATTGAAGCTTCAGTACTTAGTGGGCGGAGGGGGGATCAAAAAGGTTTCTGATTTATACCCAACAAGGTATGTAACGTACTGATGGAGTTGTGGCCTGACTTTGAACTTCTGCTTCTGCCAACCAGAGTGTCAAATCCTCCAGGATCTTGATGTGGACTCATAGATACCAAGGTTTAGAAGATGTGAGGCCTTGTGATAGTTGATCTGCTGCATTGTCCAAAGTGGACACGCGAAGTTGCTCTAATTGGCAGTTGTTTTGAAATAAAATGGTGGAAATATTTTTACATTCTTTGTTGGCCCAGTAGTTGCAAGATGACTTGTTCCGCAGGACACCATCAGTAGTAGTGTTATCAGTTAGAATAAGGAATCTCTCACCTTCTAAATGTCACAGTTTCTGTAGCATCAGCAGGCCCAGTCGTACAGTGACAGTTTCCAACCAAGCTATTCTGCGAGTAGGTTTACCAAGAGGTCAATCCCACCCTGGTTGCAATTTGAATTGGGACCATGCTTTTCCGACTATCACACCAATTCCAAAAGAGTTCAACGTGTCCCCAACCCATCCAATATTGTTGACAAGTTGGGATTTCAAAAGAAGCCTGTTGGGATAGTGGTCTAGGGCTGTTTCCCAGACATCTAGGTCTTCTCTCACCTGGACTGGCATTTTACGTTTGGCTTCTAGCTTTACCCATTCACATTTCCACCAAAAACTGGATCTGAGGTAACAGCATAATTGCGGTGTGGTGAGCAAGATCTCCACTTAAGCAAAAAATTTAAAAATTGTGTGAAAATTTGTATTTTTGGTCAAAGGCAAATTTATTAGTGAAGTTGTTAGTCAGCAAGGGTATCATAGTTGATTCATAATCTTCATTTCATTATCTTTCAAATCATATATTTACATGAGCGATTGATAAGACCATTTAAGAGTGAAGAAAAATTTGAAAAGGTCAATAAAAATAGTATAAGAGTGAAAATCAAATTAAAGGAATTAGCAAGAAGGGATTTGAGGAAGAAGAACATTTCGTTTGGATCTTAAGGAATGGAAACTGTTATGAAAAGAATGAAAGAAGAAGAAGAATATTAAGAAAGTTGAAGGAAAACTTGAAAATATGGGTATGAAAGCCTGGAAAGCGGTTTTTAGGTTATTATTATGAGAATTATTGGTTCTGGAAGGTTTTATTGTAAAAGGGAAGGACAACATTAGTCATCACCAACTTTAATCATGAGGATTGATAAGGGAGGTGTGAAATTATTCAAGAAAAGGGGAATTTCGAAAAAGGGTACTATGGTATTAATTCCTGTGTAGTGATGTCATTGATGGATTGATTGTGCCAAGAGTTTTTCAGATTGATTTTAGTGCTGTGTGATTGATTGGAGTGCTGTGGAATGATCTTTTGATAGAAGAAAAATCATTATTAGACGTGAAAATAGTCAAAATTCGTCAAAAATGGAGGTTTTTAGTTAATTACATATGGTAAAACTTGTCAGAATTGGGTGTGTGATGGTTCATTCAACGCAGAATCATTGGTTTCATATTGTACAACCTTTAAATCATTAGTAACGGAGGAGTAGTGAAAAAGTTATAAGGCAACAAAGAAACTGGAGTGAATTTCGAATTTGGAGGTTACATGTTACATTTACATGACAAAACTTTATTTTCTTAATCTTTACAACTCAATAACTTATTCATCACACATCAGAAATAGGTAATATGGGGGTGATAAATGATCAGAATCACGAGGGCTATCAAATGAGCTATAGTAATCAAAAATTGAACAACTTTACAAAAAATTCGTAATTCCAAAAATGGATTTCAGCTATGAATATTAGGAAAAAATCACCTGTATTCATCATAAGAAGATCTGTTCATCATTTATTAACATCAATTGATCAAATTCACGCCTTGAATCATTACAAACAATAATATTAATGACATCATATGGTTACATTGGAGGATTTTCTGTTGATTTTGAGGGTTTTTGAGGGTTTTTGGAGGTTGTTGACCATTTTTGAAGGTTGTTAGAGGGATATATACTATTGTTAAGGATTTTACGGGCCTTTGTTCCCCTTTTTACTCATCTTAGACTTTTGTTAGAGTGTTTTTAATCATCATTAAATTACTTTAGCAGTACTAAGTTCACTAAATTGCCCCTTTACATCAAAGGAGAGATTTCTTTACGTGTGATAAGACTATAAGTCTTCATTGGAATAACAATCAAACTGATTGTTGCTTTTGCTAGTAATTAAAGTTGTGTTTTGTTGTGCTCAGATTGGAATAACACTTCAATAGTGTTGAGATTTCTTTATTTCTAAAAATCACGGGAATAATACTTGATATAAGTATTGAGACAAATTTCTCTGGTGCCTTATCCCAAAGAATTCAGCAAAACCCCGTGTTGATTCTTTCAAAGATGCAGTCTTAGGCAACTTCTACTAGTTAGTTATATTAGTAGATTATCCCTCTTTAAGCTCTGTAAAGCTCTTGTTGAGCTTTAAGTTCTACAGCGGTGCGATGTAGGAAACATGAGTGAGTCTACCGTACATTTTCTTGACTTCTTTGAAGGTGTAGTTGACTTTAGATAGAAAACTTTTGAGTTGTTCATTCCTCTTGGAGAGCTTCTTAGGTGTGAGGCATACAGATTTCTTTTCAACATCCCACAAGAAGCCAATGTATTTTTGTGTGTTGCTAAAGTGAGTGAATTTGGTCTTGTTTGTCTTAACTCCTAGGTTTGTAATATACTCTACTATTGCGTCCATGCTTAAAGTACTAGATTTCTCCTTGATGACTAGGTTGTCATCTACCCAGCAAAAAACCTTGTTTAGCCCAAATTCTAATTTGCAAGCTCTTTCCACACGTCTGCGGGGCCGCCAAAACTTCCACAGCCCGCGACGCATCCAAAGGATATGCAGAGGTCTATGTAGAGTAGTCCTTCGAAATCTTGTATGAGCAGATATGGCCATTGGCTTGGATGCGTACCTATCTGTTGGTAGGCTTTCAGCTAGTCAAAAAGAGCAATTTGAAGTTCGACTGATGCGTTGGCAATGTGGAGGGCGACTCTTTCAAATTTGCCCCAGGTAGTTTTGATATCATCCTTATTGACAAAGGAGTTTACGCTAGGGATGTTAACGTCTCTTTTGGGGTAGGTTAAACCGTTTATTAGGCGGAAGGATCCGTCTCCGTTGATGACGGCACCCAAAGGGCTTGATTGAAGGAATTCATAACATGAGGCCACGTCTTCCTTTGTGTATGGACCATACATCCTTCCAGCTGATAGTTCTTGTTTCAGGGTCTTCTCAATGTCTTCTCTGGCTGATAATGCGGATTGATGATTGGGAGGGCAGTAGAATGGGAAACCTTGAATTAAGGGCGCGTTCACTTAAGCGCTTTTTCACGAAAAAGCGCTTTCTTGAATGTTGATAAATCGCATTCTGTGAAATGCGTTTGATTTCTTATTTACAAGCATTCTTGAAATCACAGAATGCTTGAAAAAAGTCTTTTTTTGGCACTTTTCAAGAATTCGATAATATCACATTTTTTGCTCTCAAAATTGCATTCTGCCTCAACTTTTCCCACCTATCATTTCATTTGTGAACTTATCCTGAAATCTCACAATGTACCTTCCACTGTACAGGACCCCTCAGATATTTCCCGAGTCCCCATTCATCGTACACAGCTCTCAAAATCCGTCATCCACCACTCTCCTCAAAAAACGTCTTCGATTCATCCTCACTTGATCTCATTCTCAACCCAAGTCACCTTTATACAAGCACAGGAACCTGATCTAATTTTCGTTTGGAAGTGAGGCAAATAGCCATTTGAGCTTTACTGTCATAAGATGATTTAGCTAAACACTGTTTCTCACTCAAACTGAGTTCCAGTTCAGTCTTTTTGATAGACGTCAAAGCATCTTTCTCGATCAATCAAACTTCAGCTGTGATTAGTCGAAGATAATGCTGGTACAAAGACCTGATTGAGTTCGATTCGAGAAAGGATTGAAAGAAAGGATTGAGCATCAACAATTTGCAAAAGTGAGGATGTATGATTGGTTTATGTAGTGGGATTTTTCAGATTGAAGGGTTTGTCTGGGGATCAACAAACAAAAAAATCGTCCTTAATTTCACCTTTAATCAAACGCTTCATGACCTCTTTTGTCATGAAACGTGAAATTTTGTTTTTTTACAAAAATCGCTTTTCTACATGTAGAAAAGCGGTCACCTAGAATGCGCTTTCTGGAAATCCGGCCTAAGTGAACGCGGCCTAAGTGTTTTGGGATTCCTTGATCAAAACCATCACAGCAGCCGTCTAAGATGAATTGCAGCCTAGGTAGAAGATTGTGTTTTTCTAGCGCTTCTTTCCAAGCAGTGATGTTCATGTCACATTTAACACCTTCTGGCCATATTGGGTCTGATTTGTTAACTTTCCTTTCTGCTGTGTCGTACATTGGATGGACATGATTTCTGGGCAAATAATCAAATGAGGGGGGGCAAGGGAGTTGTGTAAGCCAACATGCAACAAGGATTTCATTGCAAAAGGGGAGGACTTCTGAAAATATATGCTTGGTGACAAGTGAGTGAAAAGAATTAGCATTATGCTAGGAAATGAGAAATTTGGATCAATAGAAAAATTGAGCAATTAATATAAATTTAGCAAGGAAAAATGAAGAAAAAAATTGTGATAGATTGGATTGTTAAATGGAAATCATAGAGTAAAATAGGATACAACTTTCCAATGGTTGACTAAAATGTGGGATTTAGGTCTTGCGGAACAAAAATTTGTGATAGGGATTCTTGTGAGGGGTGGTCTACTTCAGACGTCTGTACACTTACCCTTTGTTTCTTGGGTGACTACCTCCTCCTCTTCCCCCTTGCCAACTTCCTCTGCCTCCTCTGTTAGGGAACCTATTAGCTGACATTGGTGCGGCAGGGGGAATGTTCCTCTGGTTTTAATATAACATAAGATTAGGTGGAAGGTGATGTTGTATTGTTTGTGATACTGAGTGACTCGTTGTTTGGTGAGAAGTTGGTTGTTGGTAAGTTGAGTGACCTTCTCTCTTGCCTCTCTTACGTTTCAAAGGTTGGCTTTCAGAGGTGGGTTTTGTAATATGTCCTGTGTGTTGTGGTTGTCATGATGTCCTGATGGTAGCATAAGCTTTTTATCTTTCAGTTTTGTCCTGATTGAGTCCGACTGCGTCATAGACCTTTTGTGGAGTGTCACTTACAAGTATGCACCCACTTCAGGATGACAAAATTCAAAATGGCCTCCTTTAGCATAGGGGTAAGTATCTCCTCCATTTGCCTCTCCCAATTGTAAGGATTTGTCCTTGGCTTGGTATTTGTATTTTGTCATGAGGGTTCCAATGCCTTTCATCAGTTTCTTCCCATCTCATTTCACAAATACTTGAGATAGGCAAAGTATGTTGTACCTTAAGGCCGTCATCCAACACTCTGTTGATTGTTTGATCGACTTTACATTTTCAATGTGATACTTCAGTCTTTGTGCTAGTGGTTTCTGGCTGTAGTACCCCGCTAAATACCTATGGAATAGACTCATGCATTCCAACCATTCTCCAACTGTTAAAGCGTATTCTGATGGGGGGTCAAGTCCTTCGTTTGATTTAATCTTAGAAGAAGATGAATGATGGTTTTGGTTATATTTGTCTTTGTCGGCTCTTGCAAAAGTCTGTTCAAAGATTGTTAGGGGAATTGAAGTTTGAAGGTCTGTCATTTGATTGCCCCAACATGGCTAGTACATGATTTTTATGTCAGTATTTTCTATCAATTTCTTTGGTCTATGCTTGTAGCTTACTTGTAGAGCCACCAGATCACCAGTTGGGATTGATCCTATCTCTATTTGGATCACACCTTTGCTTTTTGATCTTCTGGAAGAACTGGTCTCGTCTCATTCTTCTTGTTTTTCGTTTGTTTTTATTTCCCTTTTCCTTTTGAGGTTTTCTTGGATTTTGTTTGTTTACATTTCGCTGCCTTTTGTTTGGCGCCTAAACTCAAACAAGGTCAAATCAGTTTACTGATAGGTAACACTTTGAGAGTGATGAGATACATTATAGAGAGTATTCATTTGAAATACATAGGGTTCTAGGGAATTGCGCTATAATGTGACATCTGTGTAAAAGCATACAGCATTGTCCGTAGGCCTCTTATCAGAAGACCCAGACGTCTGAGAACGTAGAAACAAGACATAAATCTTGACAAGTCATCTTTTCACCCATTCTCACCCACCACCCACCTATACTACATATCAAATTCCCACCACACTTATTATACATAACAAATTACCACTTGTAGGCCACATACCCTCATATGTGAAATCTCAAAAACTTGTCTTCACACAGCTCTGAATATACAAACACTACTTGTAGCTTAGTACTGGGAGCCACACATTCCCACACCAACCAAACCAAAACCCACATCCCATTGCATCCATTCACACCTCAACCTACTCCTCATTCCTCAACCATGAGCCAATCAACCATCACCAACCCAAACACCACTAACCCATTCAACTATCCCAACCCTATACCCCCACCTGAAACAAATGTGACCTATCCTGAACTCGATTCAATCAAACACTACCTGTCCATCACGCTGCCCATCATGGATTTGAGATATCGATTGCCAACACACAAAGGTCCCACATGAAATACAAGTGTAGTTTGGGACCCCACGGACACAAGAGCAAGGCTTCAACTACCTCTCAACCCACAATTCTCAAAACGTGCCCTTATAAGGTGATTGCATGCCATGAATCACCCACTGAATGGCATGTTGAGATCATTCATGGTACCCACAATCATGCACCACACTCCAAACCGCCTATTGTCAGACAACCACCAAAGCGTCGCCAACCACCAATACCGATTAAGGATGACAACACCCAATGTGAAAAACATCAACATCTTCCTTGTTGGAGTAAATCAATGACATATGTTAAAGATTATATCATTTCATTACATGTACTATGTTACTCAATACCTTTTGTCTAATAATATTAACCTAACCAAGTTATGTATTGCATGAATTAGTATATCATATCTTGTTGTTCTGAAAACTTTCTTTCTCTTTTCTCTATCACTTTCGAAAGTTTTCACACTAAACAACCATCTTATCACCATAACACTCTCTCCGGACTAATAGTTCTTCTTTCCTGTTATACTGATAAGCGTGTTGTTGTTTCTGATCAGGTATGATTATATTGCTCATGTTTTCTTTATGATTTGTTTATGATAAAAGTAATAGAACATCACTTTAGAAAGTTTTCACACTAAACAACCATCTTATCACCATAACACTCTCTCCGGACTAATAGTTCTTCTTTCCTGTTATACTGATAAGCGTGTTGTTGTTTCTGATCAGGATTCTGAGAATCCTTTATTCCTCCCATCCCTGCTCACGCTAATGCCTGGCAATCTCTTCAACATGACACTAAACAATTAATTCAAATCGACTCTCTAATCAGCCGAATGGATTGTCTTCCGCCCAAAACCCAAGCCTTACTCTTTGACCGCTTCATACAAGACTGTGAAGTTGCTCACAATGTCTTGTCCAATACACGTCAATGATTCAACAAGAATACCCCACCCATCACTCAAAAACCTCTACATCATCAAACACCTCCCAAACAGTCGGCACTACCACACATCCCCCTGTTCTCCAATCCCCCCATTCCACCCAACAAGACAAACCTTCACAACAAACTCAAATCGTACAAGGGCTTCCACCACCCCAGCGAGTACACCCCACTCTCAAAGGTGTTCATGTCGATCCAGAACTCAAAGATCACAGTGGGCCTCCTATTCAATCCGATTGCTCCAGCACCTCTCATCGAGCGGATGAACTTCACATTATCAATTTGTTGAGTCCCAGAAAAAAAAAGAAAGAACCAGCCATCCTTGGAAATGATGAGCCCTCGTCAAAGGAAGAAGTCCATGACACCAAAATGCAAGAACTGTCACATCTGAATCACAATACAGTTACTTCAGCCAAAGATCCATTGATTGGGAAGGAAGGTCTCCCGAATTATGAGCAAGAAGCATCATCAAGCCCTATAAATCACAAAGGCGCTCTCAACACTGACACACTAGCACCAGGATTACATTTGGAAGCCACTGCAACTGAAAATCGTAAGTGTCTTCCCTAGACAACTACGTTTCGTCTAGGATTTGAACGCATCCATCAGCTAACTCAAGACCTTCACAGATTCTTCTGATCAATCCAATACACCGTCAAAGCAAGAACCAAACCAGTCAATTCACTCCAAGGATATTGGTCCAAGTGGTGATCTTAAACAAACCTCACAGCTAGATCTACCACCTCAGGACAATCCACTTCCAGTTATCAACAAAAATGACTCCCCGATTGTTGATACCATTCAACCAAGGGCAAAATATTGCAAGCGCAAGATTGACAATGTCCCCCCTCAGCTCCCACAACAAGTTTCTGCACGCCGCATAGCTGCTGAGAGCAAGAAGTTATTAGCTCAGAATCCAATGGTATATCATTAACTTTTCCAATTGTGACCACCACATACATAGATTAAGATTAGATCATACTTTGCCGCCGCCGTAGATTTCATCAGGAGAAGAAACGGGCAGTGTGACAACGGCTCTCCACACCACCTTGTTGACATCGACTGTACCAAAGTGTTCAGGATCTGTGGTCAATCCTATACTCAAGAATGAGCAGTTAAAAAAAGCTGAGGTAATTCTATGCCCATCTACTTTGAAGCGTGGTCAGCTCCTCACTGATTATTTTCTTTGAGCAGGCCACAAAACACATGTCCACAGAACAATTGAAAGAGAGCAAATAGATTGAGGCATCAGTGTTGAAGGTAATCCATATCCTTTCAATGGTAATTATAGATCATACCGACTGATTCATTTACTTACATTTGATAGCAGAAATGGCCCTTCCTCAAATATGTACCTCGGTACTTATTTCCTTTCATCAAGGCTACAAACAACGTGCCTAAGGATGGTCTTTGCACATTCTCAACAGTCGCAATATCCCTTGGTCAAAATGTAGACAATGCATCATTAGTTCAAAAACAGCTTTCTCAACATGTTCACTCAAATTACGGCTGGTACAAGGAAAACTTGCCGAAAATGTCTCTGGAGCTTGACATCACCAGGGTGACCACAATATTGGACTCCACTGCTTCAATAGCATTGCCTGATGATTGGTATCCCATGCCCTCCGGTGGTTTGAACAGCTCTTCCAACAGCCTATCTAAAGTGATATTTCCATGTTTTTCGCCACTCAATACAACAATCTCTCCAATAATCATGGCTTTCATTGACCAACAACACTTCATACCGCTTGAAGTATTGCAAAGCAACAAGTTACCAATTCCTTTTGTCCATCCAGAGTGGAATGATTTGTGTGACCCTGTGGCCCGCAATTGGAATGAATTATACACACATAACATAGGAATATTTTCTGGCGTAAAATGGCAACGGGATTGGATAGTTGATGAAACACGTCCACCTTGTCACAAATTGGTGTCCGTAGCTTCTGATACCGAGTGACGCTTGTCCATGTAAATGTATTTTAATTCTCACATTTATATATTTAACATTTACTAGTCCATAAAATAGTGTTTGTTATGTACATGGTGAAAGTATTGTTTTGTCTGTTAATGAAAACATATTGATTTGTTGATGAGAATTGAACAACCATAGCCCATAATTTTTTGTTAATGAAATTTGTAGAAATTTGTACTACAAGCGTGAATCATAGATAGCATGCAACAAAAACAAATCTCTTCAAAACTTAAACACATGTTTTGCAGTTTCACAAACTTGCAGGTGTTCATTTCCCCCTAACTGTATGTAAACTTTGCAGTTGGGTGTAAGTCATTCCCACAATTTCACTCCAGTATGAATGTTCTTTCCCACCTGGGGGAAAGGATTTCCCACAATGTTGCCTGAGTTTGCAAACCATTCCCACCTGTGTGCAAAACATTCCCACCTGTGTGCAAACCATTCCCACCTGTGTGAAAACCTATTCCCACCTGTGTGAACCCCATTCCCACCTGGGTGAAAGTCATTCCCACTTGTGTGAACCACATTCCCACCTGGGTGAAAACCATTCCCACGCTTCCCACCTGAGTGAAAATTGTTCCCACATGGGTGAAAAAGTTATTTCCTACATAGGTGAAACAGTAATTCCCACAACTCCACCTAATGAGAATAGATTTTCTAACCTGGGTGAAAGTCTTTCCCACGGTTTCACCAGAGTGTGAACTGTTTCTTCCACAGGGTGAAAAATATTTTCCCACATGGGTGAAAGTCATTTCCAGCCGTGTGATTTTCATCTCACTATTTCTACCTGTGGGGAAAGGTTTTTCACCAAGTTTAACCCATGGAGTCTTGAGGAATTTCACACATTTGCTGTGATTTTTCCATCTGGGTGGAAACTTATTTTTCCATATGAGCAAAAGGCATTTTCAGCAGTGTGAATCTACTTCTTACTATCCCCACCTGTGGGGAAGAGGGTTTTCACCAAGTTTCACTCATGGAGCCCATTTTTAACACACAGGGTGAACATTAAAAAAAGAAAAGTTTGTAAAACTGTTCAATTTCTTTCTTGGAATCAATCTAAATCAATCTCATCTGAGTTCATTTTTTCATTTTTTATTCAATCAATCTAAATCACAAATTCTTATGTCTTTTTTTGCTTCTCTGAGTTCTTTTTTTTCTTTTTTTCTACTTCATCCTCATATGATTTTACACGCATCTGGCAATATTTTAACCACTCTTTCTCTCTCATGGTTTTCTTCTTCTCAGAAAGGAACTGGATACTTTGACCCAAAGACTCCGAAATCTGACAGGAGGAACCATACCTGGTCACCTGACACAATTTGTGTTTTGTCACACTTCCATCTGGCTTGAAAGACTGCAACTCCGTGGTATAATGGAGAATCTATGGGTATTGAAAAGTTAGATTTGTCAACAAAAAACTAAATCTCTTCACTCAGCTGGGTGAATGAAACTCACAGTCGTGTCCCATATCATTTCTACCACTCCCTCACATAGGTAAAAAGGGACACATATTCCAAATTCCTCAACACAAAATGTAGAACCCTTTGAATTACCTAGATTCTTTTCTTTTGCCTTTTCATGAGGTCGGCCTGTCTTCCGATTCGCAAGGAAAAACATCCCAAAACTATACCTTGTACGATCATGATCCAAATGAGCTTCATTGTAGAATCCGTCACAGGTAACTACTAGGTTTGATGCAAAGACCTTGCCATTTTGAGTATACTGCCATTTGGCATTGTGAAATCCTGGGACATCGGCTTCGGAAGCCAAGTCCAGATTTGTTTGAAAGACAAACATTGAGAGTGAGCCAAAGTGCTTGGCCCAGAAGTCGTGAATCCGATGAAATTGTTCCATACGCTTTTGATCACTTTGAATTCGCTCATCAATGGCGGATCCGAAAGAGCTGATACTGTAAACACCTGAAGATATTAAGCAAGAATGAGCATCTGACTGACTTGAGCAGATCATAGAGACAGAAACAATCACACCTGCTGATTTACATTTTTCACAACCTCCTCTCCACCCACAGCACCCCATAAAACCAGTGTAACTTTCATCATCCTTGATACCTTGAATTGAATTATGCAATTTAAAATTATTGCAGGCACGAGCATGAAGGGAAGTAGTTGATATTGAGTGAGCAAACTTCTCTTTCAACTTATCCTCCATTGTGGCACATGGGTTACATTGGACAATTAATACTACATTTAGGGTCTTCTTATCCACAACAACCACAGTTCCTTCTTTGATGTGGATCGGTTTGTAAGGTCCAAGATCTGGTTGATCCTTCAAGCTATAGCGGAAAATAAAGACAGTGTCGGAAGGAAGCCCTAGCTCTCTAGCAAGTTTAGCTTTGAGAGTGGTTCTATTGATGTGTTTACAAGGGAGAGGACGTCCAATATGTACCTCCTTTCTATACCTAGCCTTCCCTTCAAAATAGCATTTTGATGTTTCAAATTTCCAATTTGGTACTTGCATACCGGCTGCTTTTTTTGCGCTTTCAGATCTTGCACATCCCATTCTGAGGATTACAAGTGATATTATTGTTAGAGAATTGATAGAACAAGAGCGTCGAGGGAGATACTTACCTAGACAGTGACTCCAATATACTAAGTCCAAAAGGAAAGAAATTTCCACGACAACCAAGAGGGACGACCACAAGATCCTAAAGAAGTAGAGATCACAAAGCAATTGTAAGCTAGGTTGATAATTAAATAGAGCAAATTGACAAAAAGAGTTGTCAGATTTAAAGTAACCTCTAACACAACCAATCAAACCAAAGAAGCAAAAACTTTCCAGCAGAACGCAAGACCCCAAATCGTAGAACGGAGTCAAACAAACAGGGTCAAGCAAAGCAACTGGGATGGAATTGGATTAAATGGTCGAAATGTAAAAGAGGACGTGGGACGAGTAGGTATTGATCGATCCAGTCAATTGAGTTGATTGAGTGGGTTGTGATCGAGTGTGATGTGTCGTAAGAAAAAACTATAATCAATTGAAAGGAAGCTTGTAATAAAACACAAGTTAGACAATCTAGTTACCTACCGATCGATCTATTGATTAGAATGAGTGAGATGGATATTGGGAATGTGGGTGCTAAGAAAATGTGAGTGAGTTGGTGAGTGAAAACGATCAAAAGGAAGCTTCTAATCAAACAAAAGTTAGACAATTTAGTTACCTACCAATCAATTGATTGAGGAGACAAGGACTAGGAAGCTTCTAATCAAACACAAGTTAGACAATTTAGTTAACTACCGCTCAATTGATCGAGGAGACAAGGACTCTATCAAAAGATACCCAAGGAAAAGAAGATGATCAGTTCGAAGAGCTTAGTGAAATGAAGAATTGACATTGAAATCACTAACCCTGTTTGAAATATACTAAACAAGATCAATCAATCGATGACAATCAAGTTACTTTCTTGTATTCGAAAGTCTTTTTTTGATTGAGAGTATAATCAAAATGTCTTTTGATTGAGAATTGATGTCAAGATACGATGAGAGTAGAGAGAAAGAATCAGATATCAAGTTTACCTGAGAAGATTGATTGAAAGTAGAAACTGATAGAAAAGAGTCTCATTCAAAAGAAAAAATTGGAAAAAGTAGGCGACATACTGATCAAAACTTTCTGACAAAGTCTCTGAAGATCTGATTTTAGAATGGGATTACCTCATCAATGAAGAAAAGTAAGATTAGTTGGTTTGATGAGTGATTGAAAGGTTGAAGAACTGACTGATGGGTGATGAGAGTTAGATATATTAAAGTCGTTTGTTCAAAAATAAGACAAGGCTGAAGTTCAAATGTATGTACCCGGAAGAGATGTATCAGTTCAGATGGTTTCATCGAATCAGTTAGGGTAAAAGTGTGGCCTACAACCATCAGACCCTTACAGCACACGTCAATTGGCTGACCAATCAGGGCATGGAATAGGTTAAGTTAGGTTTGGGCTGGCTGTCGCGTGCTGCAAGGAGGACACACACGCCGGGGCCATCATGCTCCCGGTTCCCACACATGTACCAAATTAATAGTGTAATCATCACCATTGATCACCATCTTGGTGACAAACACATTTGTCATTATGATGGTGATCAAATGATACCAGAAATTATAATCACTGATATTCCCTGACATCTTACTTCTATATTTCAGAAAGACAGTGAAGTTGACGTGTGAGGGCCATAATGTACCCTGGTTGACATGGTTTGGATAATAAACAGATGATTCATGATCTCAGTGTCTCAAGAGGAGAACATTCATTACTTGTAAGCTTGGTTTGAAGGAATATCACATATTTATTTTAATATGTAGTCTCTTTCATGTTCTTATGGGCTCATTTGGGCACCATTGGTTAATTGAAAGCTTTTTGGGGGTATATCACATAATTATTATACATGGTATAAGTTGCTTTATGAGTGCCAGATTATAATCTTCTAATATATTTACTTGTAATCTTTGTTTGAAGAGATAATAAAACCCATTATCTATAGAGGGTATACTCTATAAATAATAGAAATGGTGTATGGAGTGCCAGAATATAACCTGGTCTTTTCTATGACATGCTAGGTCATATTATCATAGTATGATGTATCTTTCATATAAAAGTTGTCTCAATTTGACAACTTTTTCAGATTATCACATATACATTTGAGTCTTGCCACTTGTAAAATCTGTTGAATATAAATTGAGAAAACATCACAAGTGGTGAATATTCCTTTTGTTGGTCAGAATATCACATATATATTTCAATCTTCTGTTGAATATAAGTTGAGAAATCATCACAAGTGGTGAATTCACAATTTGTTGGTCAGAATATCACATATACATTTCAATCTTCCCACTTACAAAATCTGTTGAACATGAGATGAGAAATCATCACAAGTGGTGAATATTACTTCTTCTTAATAGTCAAAACCTTACTCCCCCTTCATATTAAACCAAACCAACCGTGTGTTTATCAAAGTGAGAAACACAGGGTGGCTTTGCCTATGTAACACACCTGAGCACTTATGTACTTATCTAATGACATAAGGTGATACAGATGAACCTATCACACAATGGGGTTTGATATACCCACCCAAGATGATACATCATCCTAAGAAGGATCTTGGGTGGGTTCAAAATTTGGCTAAGTCACACTTTCCTTAAGGGCACCCTCATGTTGCTGAAGATGGCACTGAGTCACCACACCCACCTAATATTATGCCTACCCACCCACCAAACCTAACATACACCACCAGTGCCGGTGTACCCATACGCTACAACTCATACCTCATCATCACATCCTCAACCCACCCTGTATCAGAATGTTACCACCCAACAATCTTTCATACCGGACCACTCACAAACCCACCCGCTCAAAGCAGTTTCACACCCACCCACCCGTACTACCTACCCAGTACAACATACACATATAATTTTAGCCTCATACCTACCCACCAAATCCCAAACCCTACCGCCCCCAAGGTTTCACCCCTACCCCCCTTTAAATCCTCATACTTGCATTGAAAACCCTGTCCGTCACAGCTTTACCTTGCTCAGCGCTTACCACCAATCCACCATCACCTCTCATCCCAATGACATCAAACGTATTGAACTCAGCAAACCCTCCTACCCTCCAGCCACCCCCACCCAACCTCGTCGCACCAGACCTTCCCAAAATGGAGGCTTTACTTCACCAACATGCAGAGGCTATTGGATTTAAGATCATTAGGTGATCTTTGTTGCCAAGCCGCATTTGATATGCCTGCCATTGATCAGGCCCAAAGCCCTCCAACACCTCTAGGTCTCAGAAGACCAATTGCCCGTTTTCAATCACTGCCTACGAAATCGTGGACAATGACCTAGCACCCAAACCTTCAGCAGATTGTTCTCAACGAGCATACCACTACGGCTCTACCACCAGTCGGCAGCTGGATGATTCGCATCAAACATCCCAACCACAACCACCCTCCCATTGGCTCAGAGGTAAGTTTTTTTTCTACCTAACAATTTCAAGTCCAACTCACACCTTGTCTCTACACCACTTACTCAGAACACAGATAATCCCGGTAAAAGTGAGAGTGTCTCTGTCATCAAGCAACAATCTGCTGCGGTGAGCAATCGGTCCTATGCCTCGAACTCTTCAACCATGCCATAACGCTTTACACTTACTTACTCTTGGCTCTTACATGTGTAGATCTCGAACAAGTTATCATGCCTTACACCAACCAATCGATCACAAGCCCTTGCCAAAATACAACAAATTCTTGACAAGTATCCACCAATATCTGTCACCCTTCAACCATGCAGCCCACATCCAACACCAGCACCCCTTTCCCAAGGTCTCCCATTAGGAGGAGCTCTTCCTACTTGTTCTACGTCTCTTCCTGCCAAACAATCATATCTTCTCCTGATCGATCGTATCTTCCTCCCGACTCAACATCAAGTTCAGTCCCTCCTTTACCTTTACCTGCGACGACAAGAATCAAGAATGTCAAACAGAAGCAAAAGAAGTGAGCTCCAACATGTCTTCCTGTCAACTCAACATTGCTTCCTGTCGACTCAACATCACTTTCTGTCGACTCAATATCACTTTCTGTCGACTTGGCTTCAAATGCAGTCCCGGTTTCCACTGAAACATCCAGCTTTGCCATTGTAAAAAAAAGTGCAAGAAGAAAGCTCCAGCTCTCTCCAATGTGGTGTTGCATACACCAAACCTACCCAAGCCACGCCCATCCCTTGCTCAAACCGTCTCATCTAAACTATCCTCAATAAGACTACAGGCTGTCCCACCATCTTACCTCGTGAAATCAGCCAGACCCACCAGCGTACCCGACATAAACCAAACCCTGATTCTCCAGGGATTGGTCGATTATGATTCAGACGGTTTTGTGAGCCTCACTCCCCATCCCACTTAGACTAGTACCTACTAACCTTCACCCACCTTAGCCTACACCAGCTGCTGCGCCAGGAACACCTGCCACTCATGCTCTCGACTCGGACAACTGCCTGGTGAGTTATTTCAAAAAAATCATGAGGCAGCTCAAGTGATGACTTTGTACTCTTGCAGCCATCACCAGGTTTGATTCTGCTACCGGAGCCTTTGGTGCAATTTTGAAGTCTCTTCTTTAATCAATCTGGCTGAGAGATCATTGCACGCTAACCTTTGTGTAATGTTTTATTGTACTGCAGCAGCTGCCCCCTGATGGCAACAAAGACGCAGATGCAAGCTTTGATATGGGTGTGTTGCTCCCACCTCCCACGGCCCCCACAAACATGCAAGCCGTATCAACAGAGAAAGCGGACACGACTGTCACAACTGTCACCATACCCCCTTCCCTTTCAATTGATGTCAGTCCAATCTTTACCACTATGGACTTCCCTGAAATCCAGTGACTTACAGTGTGACCTACTCTCCAAGAGTAACAAGCGAGCCAAACCAAAGGTGGATTCAAAGCTAGCCACAGGTGGTCCACAAACCGCAGTACGTAGGTCTAACAGGAGGCACAAAGACAATGCGGACATTTCCTTAGACACTGAAACTGGCCCATGTCGGTCTAACCGCACCCGGAACACCAAAAAAGTGTGTAAGTTCAGCTTCACCAACCCGCCATTTGTTATTATGTACTAATGTCCTACCTATATCACCCAGGATCCTCGTGTCCCACAATGGCTACACCAATATATCATATCTGTATCTGACCCAAATCCTGACGGTCACTGTGGATACCGAGCTATTGCTATGAGCCTGGGGCGCTCCGAGGACGAATGGCTATTGGTTTGCAAGGAGCTCATTGCTGAATTGCGTTCAAAGCAAAAATTCTACACTTCCCACTTCAAAAAACGCAACAGAGGATATGGGGGCGTTGCAGAGCACATGTCAGCCATTCACACCGAACGCAATGAGGTCCTCCAATATCCTGAGCTTTGGCTCAATTCGACTCAAATGTTGTACCTCATTGCTACAACATACAAAACCTTATTCTGTGTATACGACAAAGACCACAGCTTTTCCGCCCTACCACTTGATTGTCCAGTAAACGACAATAAACCAATTTTTCTTGCTTATCATCATGAGAGTCGCCATTTCTTGTCTCTTTCTCTACCTTACCCTCATCCCACTGTTCCCATTCCAAAGCCGTGGACCGAGTGGCATAATCTTGCTTTACCTCAAGCCCTTGATTGGGTAAGAGTATTCAATGACCAATTTTGTATGTTTCAACATGTAATCACCCCAATAATCCGTGCACAGAAACCACTGTTGCATTCCTCCACCAATTCTGTTGTTGTTGTGTCCGATTCTGAGTAGTGTTTTATCATTTGTGCTTCTTGAATTGAAATGTAAACATCTTGATATGTGGAAGTTTTCAAAAGACTTTTGCTAAAAATGCGCGCTTATACACACCAACATTAGCTCGGCTGTAGTGTGTACAGTACACTGTGTCTCAACCCACAGGTTGTATTGAAAACTTCAAAATTTTCACCTTGTCTTGAAACCTCCACACCACCACAACACCGACACCTCCAATCGTCCCAATCGTTCCACATTTCATCCATCCACACCCACTTTGTAACAGGCCATTAGTTTTCAAACTTTCTCATTGTCCACGCAAAACTGTAAGTTCTAAGTTCACTTTACTTGTGTTAGATTCTCATCGTTTCATCTCCTGATTTTGACAAACTATCTCATCCTGCAGATCTACATTACCTCGTGTCAAATCCCGCTCAAACACTCAATGCCGAGATTCGAAGGAGTCCACCAAGCTTTCAATGCGGCCAAACCTCCCAAGAGCAAAGCTCAAAGGAAGCACTTTGCTTGCATGGCGGCAGCTGTCCGAGCACGCACCGCCACACCAGCTGCCTTACCTACGCCAAACCTCGTTCCGGGCCTTGATGGTGGTGGTGAACTGAACGCGGACATCAATCCTCACTACCACTACCAGCATAAAGTAATTTTCCCCAGTAAAAAATGAATACATTTAGAGCAAAAAATGATTGAAAATGCATTTGAACAGCATTTGATCAGCATTAAATCAGCATTACAGTTGACTCCCTCGAAATCCATATCCCTCTAATCCCATACTTCCAGCTAACCCATAGAAATTTGGGTCCATAAAATTTATGGGCGGGGAAAAGTAGCCCAAAACCCATACCTCGCACTATTCCCATGACCCATAGGTTTTTTGCAGTAAACCTAGGTCAAAAGCCATAACCAAAATTTGCCACAGCTTGAAAAAAACCTGCATCCTTGTGTATTTTTCAGCATAGCCAGTCTCAAAATGCTTCCAAAAGACCTTTTGCAATTCAGCATGTCAGATATCAAAACAGGTTTCAATGCCCTACAAACAGAGAATAACAAAAGATTCAAGCCTCTCAAGCAACCTATCAGTGGAGGGAAGAAATTGTTGTAGACAGATACAAGGCTCATAGACTGTGCTGGAAAGGTAAAGAGTTGTTTTGGGGAAGATCATAGCATAATAAAATGCGGCTAAGGCTGCCATTCAACTCAACAATGATGAGCTGAAGAGACTTGAACTTTTGGTATGTTAATCCAAGTACAAACGGAATGGTTGCAATCATCTAAGACTGTGTGCCACTTTGCTGCAATCTATTCCAAGTTGAATATGAAGAAATGATTTTTTTGATTGGCTTGTTAATTTTTTTTATCTCCCTCTTCACCCATACTTTGCCTGCCAAACCTTAATCTATGGGTTATGAGGGAGATCCTCCAAAACCATACACCCATAAAACCCATAGTTTTGGGCTTCCATAGAATGGTATGGGTTTTGAAGGAGTTGACTGTATTCAGCATTAAATGAGCATTTTTGATTAAAAATGCGTTAAATGTAATCATTTTTTCCTTGGGAAAATTACCTTTTGCTGGGAGTGTACCTCGATCAACCTCCTCCTGCCTTCATAGATGACATCCAGCGCGCTAGGATTGAAGACAAGTATGAACAACAAGCGCTTCTCTTAGAGCGCTCGGCACAGGAAATGTTCTATGCTTACATAGAATGTCATTTCCAAACGTCGGATTGGGGTGATCCGTCCAAGTGGAACCTTGATCTGAAGCCAGGATGCGCTTGTCCTCCTTCAAGTTGGCGGGTTCAAGCTATTGATCTTGTTGACCTTTTATGTAAGTGGCATTTCATACTTGACCTCCCCCCTCTTCAAACTTCAGATACAATGAAATGGGATATCAAACTTACAAATACCTACCCAGATCGAACAAAGTCAGAAGTTAGGTTTTGCAAATGCCAAAAAAGCAATCAAACTTGCCTGATATACATGGGGTATATTGGTCGTTCCCCGAAATATCCAGAGACTGCGTTCTCCATCCGGCTGCTTTGTTTTTTCCATGTTGTTTGGAAGTTTTGCACGGTCCGGGTGGACCCTTTTACTCAAGCCCTGGACGGATTCCTAGATGCTTTCAATCCTTTGATTCTCACCAAGAACGACCAGGTTAGTCTGTCATTTCAGTGGGAATATCTTCTATATGCTACATACCTTTATATGCTGAAATACTTGTTTCTAGCCTCGTCGATGGCATACTCCATTTCGATGGGCCATTGATGCCTATCAAAAGATGCTGACTGCAACCGAGTCAGCATTGGATATCAAATTGGTGCTGTCATCTCGTGAAAAGCTCACTGAAAATTGCCCACAATGTTTTGGGCCCCCCATGCAAAGTCTTATTGCAGGCAAACCAGATATAGTCGTGTGCCTTGATGAGAATTTCCAGCACAGACGTCATATTGCTGCTGGGCAGAAAGCTGCTAAGACCGTTGTGGTAATCAAAAGTATTCAAGAGACAAATACACAATTCATTTTTAGTTTTATTTTTTTTATTTTATTATTTTATCATTTTATTTTATCATATTTCATTTTATTTCATTTTGTTTTTATATGTTACATGTTCATTTTTGAGTGTAATGGTTATGTGTAGGGAGTGTAGTGTAAAATGAAGCCAAAAGTCGAAATTATGGGTTTAGAACTTATGTGTAGTTGGGTGGTTTATGGGTTATGTAGAGTATACAGGTCTGAAGTTGGAATTTCGAAAATTATGGGTTTTAATAGTTATGTTTAAAGATATGTATGGGTTTAATGAGTTATGTAGAGGAATCATGGTTTTGAAGTATGGGTTTAAATAAGGCTAAATTTCGAAAATCCAACAACTCAGACAGATGGTGGTAAACTGGGGTAGTGGTAAACTGGGGTGGTAAACTGAAAAAGCAAGCAGGGATCACTTTGAAAGATGGATTCATGGGATCATCAAACAACAGCATTGGCAAATTAAACATTACATATGAAAAGAGTGGATTAGAAACTCGAAAATGACTTTCAAAATCATAAAAAAGTGCTATTTTCAATCATATAACTTTGATTTTAGGGTACCACAGCATCTTATCAGCCTAGAAATAAGTTGGGAAGGGGTATATTTTCGCATATGAACATGAAAAATCAATTATAAACCATATACATCATCATCAGTGGTAATATCAGGTGGTAAACTGGGTAAATTCAATTTCGAGTATTTTCACATAAAATCGAATTTCATTTTAAGGGTACAACCAATAGAGTTAGAGTTTAGCTTGGCTGAGCACAGTTGTAGAGCGGAAGCAGACCTTTTTTTCTGTCTATTCAGATTTTTGATACAGTCCCTATTTCTTATCTTAATTCAGCTTTGAAGGGAAAATGGCGGAAATTTGGGTTTTTGTGGTAAACAGCTAAGTAATAGTGCTGCTTGTGAGCTTGAAAGTTTGAAGATTGTCAATGTGTGTGCGCTGAATCTGTCTATCAACTTTATTTTGGGGGTTCATTGAGAGTTATTGTGTGAAAAAGTTGTATGAAGGTGAATTTCGAGTTTGAGGGGTGTTTTTTGTCTTATCTTTTTTTTTGTGTGTGTTTCAATTTTGATATAGTCAAGTGTCTCTTTTCTTCCCCTTTGGGAGCCTTTTAGTTATCAAAAATAATTACTAGATTTTTAGAATAAGCTTTTATTTTTTATTATTATCATTCAGGTAAACAACTAATGAGAGTTGGAATTTTATAATAATAAGACCCTTATTCATCTTTTAATTAATTTCTTGTTGAGTTGTAAGCTCATTTGCTCATTTGGAAGGTGCCTGAGTGCGCCTAGATTGTGCTATTTTTGAAGTTATTGTCCTATTTCAGCCTGGTTCTTATTAATCCAAAGACTTGTAGGTCTTAAATTTAATTCATCAGTAATCAAAGTCCCTGTTTAAGAAGGGCATTTCTTTCTTTGTTTGAAGTCTTTCAATTCAACATCTCAAGACTTATTTCTCTTTTGATTGTGTGTGTTTGTTGATTTGTGTCTTCATTCATCCCCTTCTTGGCTCTGCTTTCAGCTGTGTACTGAAAGAGTTCTACACTGTCACCAACATGCTGGACAGCTTTCTACCAGAAGCGCAAGTCACTCGCATGGAACAACGACTAGCTGGCCATTCTGAAAATGATATTTTAAGTTTCAATATTATACATTATATAATGTGATTCCCCAAACTGAAAGTGCTCATTGTTTTCAGGATGGGTGTGCTGATCCACACACCGCTGCCAATGACCAATGGGGCAAGGCTCACTGGGGCAGATGTGACGAAGCGGGCTTGATGGCGATGGTCTGCCGTCATGATCACCCCTTACATTTTGCAAACATCGTGCAGAGTGGCGAGAAGTGAGTAATTCCACTCACTACATCAGAACATCAACTGACATCTTGACTTTCTGATTGCACCGGTAGACTACACTACAGCTACCGCTTGATTGAATGGTTTCTTGATTTGACTGACGATGAAAAGATTGGGTTCCTATATGACGTAGGTTGTACAATGGAAAAGGGAATTGCAAATGTCAGTGACATCTTCGGTTAAAAGACAGATTTTTCCAGCTACTGACCCTTTGAAATCTAGCGTGGCATGTTTGAGCAGGAGCGGCTTCAGGACCGATTGAAGTTTGGAACTTCTGTCTTCCACGCATACGCCCATCGCTGGCCATGTCAATTGCAGTGGAATCCAAGGAAAAACCAAGGCTGGGGTCGTTCCGACGGTGAAGGATCTGAGCAAGTTTGGGCTGTACTGGACCCTTTAGTTAGCACGGAGAGGTACTCGACCAAACAGCATTGCATGGATGCTATTCACATGCGAGCTGCTCACTTCCATTCAAACCTTCGCCATTCAGCTGGTATGTCCAGGCCCAGCCGCCATAACACATGACAGGTTTTTTTGGAATGTGAAAGTTTATTGGCTGTTTTTCCTTTGTTTCAGTGGATTCTTTGAATCCCAAACGCAAGGACACAATTAAACGTCTTGAGGAGGCGTCGCAAGCTCTCAACAACATAGCTCTGACCCACCGCAACCGTGATGTTACCTTCTTCAAGAATAAGTGGGAAGAACAAAAAGCTAGGCAGCTAGAGGAGATGACCGAGTCCAAGGCAGAAAAGAGGGAGCGCCTTGAAATGATGCTGGCTTTAGAGGAGGAGTTGGTTCAGGCGAGGACAGTACACCTTGCTTTGAGATGTTGCATCCACTTTTTGGTTATGTATGTTGAATCTAAAACAGGGATCGACTCAAGGCTCTCCAAAAAAAGCGCCGAAGAGCAAGAACGCATGCTGAAAAGAATGAACTGATGTCATTGCCGACATTGGTGGCTGACATAGAAGAGCAAACCAAAAACTTTGCGACCGCCCTTGGAGGTGAAGAGTTTCAAAACCTCGCTGGGGCTACTTGTAAGTTTACACTCTTGCAATGTTCAAGATTTTTCATATTGAAGTGCGTGACTCCTTCGTGTTCCATCCACACAACAAGGCAACCAAGAGAATGCGGTCCTGTCCTTAGCTATTGCAAGGGGGAACCTCTACGAAGCCAAAGTGGGCCTTGTGGAAGCAAGGCTGCGTCGGCACCGGCACTCTGGTAAATCCCATATCTCATGTCTATATTCCTCGCGATAACAAACTAATACCTTATGATGTGATATTTTGGACTACCTATGTAGGAGCCCGTCAACAACAATACATTGCAAAGCATCTACGGAACAGAACCAGCAACGTCCGTGTCAAGTATAATACGTATAAGAGGCAGGTAGATAAATATGTAGATGATTATCCAGACGCTAATCCACCACATTTGCCTGAGCTGGGTGAGATCATGACAATGGAGATGGATGATGATTTCTGGAACCGCGGCGAAATCAAACAGGAAGCTGGTGAAGAGGGTGAGATAACTCGCTTAGGCATCAACAGCTTCTTAACTCAGCGTAGTTCGCGAGAAGAGCTACGACGAATTGCACGTGAAGCTCATCAGATGACAGCATGGTCCAACATGTACTATGGTCGCATAGTATCCCTCAAACACAAAGTTGATCAAGGTGAGAACCTTCCACTCCCCATCCTGGTAGTAGTCTATTGCCAGCGCAGCAGAACTGACATATATCTTGTAGCTGTTGGAGCAGTCCAAGTTATGCTGTTGTCACTTCATAGCATCGTGAAGAAACAGGCATGCAACCTATGGAAGAGATGGGGCTTTGATCTTCAAAAAGAACTTCAAGAAACATCCACCTATGTCAATGTTGATAATGATCATTACAAGAAAATGAAAGACGATTTTGAGAAGGTAACTGATTGGGCAGAGGAGGAGTGGAGAATGCTGGCTGGGAAGCCAGCCTTACGTGCTGAGGAGCCAGACATGTTTGAGCAAGAAGAAGACCTATTATATGAACAGTTGTACGAAAATTTTGGGGAACTCAGAGTATAAATTATGGTTAAAATGTCTCATATTGAATATAACACATGTCATTCCTGAACTGAACACCCACTATCAATGTTTATTTCATTTGAGTATCTATGGAGTTTGAGGTGTTTGGTTTTTTTACCATGAGAGAGACTACATGAAGAAGTATTGGATCCAATCTGGTAGCTTGTCCCAGCTAATTTAACGTCTTATACATGAGCTACTGACACATCAGTATTCACTATGAACTGGCAAAAACCACGCTTATGAATGCACTGATACATGGGCCTCACATTTTACCTTGCACTATCTGATTAATCACCAAAGTGAACAATTTGGTATGATCATATTTACTTATGAGGTTGTTTTTCAATTTAATTTGCCATCAGAATCTATGAGTGATTGGATTGAGTATCATCCAATGTGCACAAGTTATAACCTCAGTCTCACAGTTTACAATTGGCCAAGGATGCACTTCATGAACAACAAAGTGAACATATTTTGGCCGGGATTTAAAACCAGGAAGCAATGTGTTCACTTTGATGTTCAGTTTAGTGATGTTAATTAATATTGGTAACAATATTAAAATGAATCTTATCAAACATATTTGTCAATTAAATTTAAATTGAAGGTTTAATAAAGAACATTGTACAAAGAGTAAAAGTACAATCGGTAAAAGTCAAATTGATGGAGTTTTACAAGTGATAGGTTGTTGAGGATTTAAAAAGGTTTGATATACACTGAGTAATTGATGATAGCGGATTTTAGACTTTCCATCTTTATGGCCGGAAGAAGGACAGAAAAGATCAAGAAGTTTGGTGTAGCTTTGTTTCTGATTGAGCTTTCTATAGCGTTTTGATAAATAATCACAACTTCACCAAAGATCAGATCTGGATCCAGTGGAATTGTTGGATGTTGATGGTCTATCAAGTTGCAACAAAGGAGGGATACCTTTGAAATAAAAAGGTACTTGTCAAGGGGACAATTGACCCCTTTGAACTAGCGGAAATCTTGCAAATTTGGTTGACTTGTACTTGTTGGTGCTCTGGTGGAAGACGAGTGTTGCAGAATAGGTTGTGCATGTTGGCATCCAATGGCTTGCATGCAACTCTATTCATGACTTAGAATTCTATCCAAAGTCATGTTATACATTGTCAATATATGAAAACTAAATGAAAACCAAATAACATGCTTCCTAATGCATGCTCCTTATTATCCTATGAAGCCAAATAATTGATGACTCATGTTTTGTTGCATCACATGAGTCATCAATTCCCAGATTCCACGACAGACTTGCAGCACTCAACTCTCATTGTATATATATATATCAACATGGGTGACATTGTTATTAACAATATTTCTGACCCACAATCTTTATATCCGCATTATATGTGTTAGTTTACCTACATGAAGCAAACCATAATGAATTAAGTTTGTCTTCGCCAAAGCCCTTTCATGAAGGACATAAACCGCACTGTAATTCCCACATGGAATTCATTCCATGCTTCTGACACATGTTGTTTGTTTATCAATACAAATTAAGTCCTGATCTTCATAGATAAGCATAGATTGTGTATTTATAACTGGGCCAACCCAAATCAACTTGGATTTAGTCTTTACCCTGAACCCCAAGAACATCTTCTTCTTTCATCATTCATCATTTTCAACTTCGTGGAGATTCAACAAAGATGGAAACAACCAACACAACTAAAGAAGCACAAGAACCGTAAGTCAGACATCTTTATTTACAAACAAATCCTCATTCCAAAAACCAACTCGTGTGGTCTCCTTGCAGTGATGACTCAAGAAAAACATTAGCAGCAATCATTGATCATGAACAAATTACCATGGTCAAATTAACACCATCACCAAGCTCGACAATAGCATCCATCCAATCATGGATTGAATGTTTATCAAAACAACCTTACAACTTACTGCCACCTAGGTTCATAGATAAGACTCAATAATGCGATGAAAATGATCAAGCATTATTGATCTATACAAACATAAGTGATCAATTGATTACACAATTATATGATTCAATGAAAGAATTAAATCAAACCAGATACCATCCATTAGATGATCAATGGTTGATCCCCATTGGAAATGAACACTGGCGAATGGCACCAGTCCATTTTAAATTCATTAGTTCAGGTTATTTCACCTCTTCAGTTTTAGGAATGCATTCATCTTGAGATCTTTTATCTCGTGATTCACATCAAGAGAACAGATTGTGTTATATAGATAGCAGGATGATATATAGATAGCAAGCTGTATATAGATAACAAGAACATATTGAGTGAACATGGGATAAGTTCTTATTATGTATGTTGGAAAGAAGAAAATATCTATGTTATCCCTCCAGTTTGTCTTATGTTGTCCAGTATTTGTCACATTTACACATTCAAAAGTTCAATAAAACAATAACTGTCATACAAGATATTAAATGTATATGGTTCTGTACTTTTCTTCATGCAATGATAACTAACTTAGATGATGTCAATTTGCTTTCTCATCATCAATATAACACAAAAGTTATATTAATTTAGGCCGTTGCTATTTGCAGCCCACACAAAAACCATGTAGGCGCTGTCCAAAATGCGCCTACATGCCTTTTTCCCACGAAAAAGCGCCTACATACAGCCTGTAGGCGCTTTTTCCTTTACAAATGACGCCTACAGGCTGGAAAACCAATGTAGGCGTCATTTGTATACGCCTACATTTCAAAAATGAAATGTAGGCATCATTTTTATACGCCTACATATGTGGGCGCACGGAAATTACACCTACATTTTATTTTTTCGACTGTAGGCGTAATTTGGGTGCACCTACATTTGTAGGCGCTTGAATTTTACGCCTACTTCCCTTTTTTTGCATGTAGGCGCTCAGAAATTGCGCCTACAGCTATTCAGACGCGTGGGAACGCGCCTACACGTGTGTGTACGTGGAAGTTTGGTCAAACTTCACGTACACATCCACTGATATAGAGGCCCCTTGACTCCTTTCCCCCCTTTTCCACTCTAGAACACGGACTTTGAACTTTTTCAACCCTCCACCCTTCAAAAAATCATCAACTTCGAAGTTTTAAAGCTAGTCACGCCAGGTTTTCACTCTTCACATCAAATTAAAATGAAAAACAACAACTTCAACAACAACAACAACCAAATCCCTACGGGTGATTTTAAACCTTTCAACAATACCAATCAGATGAATAATCATAACAACAATTTCAACAGTTTACAACATGATCAAATGAATAATATAAACAACAATTTAAATCAAAACTTCAGTAATCAAATGATGAATAATATGAATCATATGATGAATAATAATAATCATATGATGATGAATAATAATAATCAGATGTTCAATAATCATAATAATCATTTATTCAACAATAATCAACAAATTCCATCAAACCATCAAGGTTCCTTAATGATGAATCAAAGTAATTTAATGAACAATCAAAGTAGCTTATTGAATATTAATGATGGTGTTATTAACACGGATTTCAACACTCAAACTTTATTGCACAATAATAATTCCAACTTTAACACTCATTCTTTCAATAATAGTAATTTAAATTTACCAAATCAAACTCAAAATACCTTAAATCAAAATAGTATGAATCAAATTGACAATAACACTTTAGGTCTTCTTTTGAATATGATCAATCAATCAAAGATGAATAATCCTGTTCAACCAAATTTTAATTCAGTCAATCAAAACCTTTTAAATTCTTCAAATTTAATCACTTCTTCTAATTCAAATTTGAGTTATAACAAATCAAATAGTAATAATAATCAGATGAATGATTTAAAACCAAATCTCAACAATTTCACTCATCCAATTCAGTCTAATAATCAGATGAATCATAATATTTCCATTCAACAATTAGCTGACAGTGAAATGAATTTAAATGATGATAATCAAAAGTTTCATACGGATTTAAATCAGAATGTAGTTTTGACAACTCCACCTTCCAAAAGAACTTCCCAATCTGTTTCAAATTCAAATTCATTTCAAACTGCTCCCTTATCACTTCCACCTCAAAAAACTTCTCCCTTTTCCAAAGGTCAATTAGATTTAAATCACGTAGAAGAAATGGATTTAGATTCAAAGCACGTAGATCATGAAATGGATTTAGATTCAGATTTAGACGCGGAAGGTTCAACAGATGACGGAAACAATGATGACTTTATTTATATTAATAAGCAATACATTATTAAAGATCCTTTCAACAAAAAAAATAAAGCTTTTGAAGATGATAAATTCAGTGAAGGTGAGTTTCAATTTTTATATTTCTTTTTTACATGATTGATAATTCTTCATATTAATATGTGTTTTTCTACGTGTTTTAGAATTTCAAAAACACGTAGAAGCTCTTCATAATCTTCCAGATGAAGCTGGAGCTGAAGGAGACATCAATCTCAAAGGTATTTGATTATATTTTTGAATTTATTTTTTTTTCTAAATTTTCTTTTTTTCACGTTTTTGGTTGTTGATCCATCTATTTTTTTTTGGGTTCTTTATTCAACAGATCTTCCAGATATCCACGTGGCGTGTTCTGCTGTGGATGCAGACTGGCCTATAATTGCAAATGGTGAGTGATTTTCTTTAATTAATTTCGAAATTTGATGCAATTTTTTTCGAATTGAAACTGATTATTCATCCTTCTTATTCATTATTATTATTATTCATTCTTATTATTATTCATTCTTATTATTAATCATTCTTATTAATATCATTCTTATTATTCAATTAGTTAATGATTTAAGTTTAGATCTCAAAGATCCACGGTGGGGTAAACTTTTTAGAAGTGAGAAAGTGGCAAAACAATACCTTTACTCCGTATCTTTAAATGGTGGATATGGAATATCCGTAACTTCATCAAAAAATAACCGTGGATGCCATAAAACTATTTATTTTCACTGTCATCGTGGTAATCCTAGAAAAAGCAAAGCTACTCAACGAGTCACTTCAACCAAGAAAACCGGATGTCAGTGGAAGGCTGCTATTAAACA